TGTATGGGGTCATGCCCAAACGTCTGTTAGTGGCCATAATTATTATGTCAGTTTCATTGATGCTTACAGTCGGTTTACCTGGCTCTATCTTATTAAGAAAAAATCTGATGTGTTTGATGTGTTTATTCAGTTTCAAGCACATGTTGAGCGTCTCCTTCGCCATAAAATTATTCATGTCCAAAGCGACTGGGGGGGGGTGAATATCACAACCTCAACTCGTTCTTTAACAAGCTTGGGATTACACACCGTGTGTCTTGCCCCCATACGCATCAGCAAAATGGGACTGCCGAACGTAAGCATCGTCACCTTGTAGAAACTGGCATCACCTTATTAGCTCATGCCTCCGTACCTTTTAGGTTCTGGAGTGATGCTTTCTCCACTGCCTGTTTTTTGATCAATAGGCTGCCTTCACGACTACTGAATATGAAAACCCCACTTGAACTCTTGCTCAATGAAATCCCAGACTACACCTTTCTCAAAGTCTTCGGGTGTGCCTGTTGGCCTCATTTGCGTCCATATAATAAACATAAGCTAGAGTTTCGGTCGAAAAAGTGCGTTTTTCTTGGGTATAGTTCCCTTCACAAAGGGTACAAATTCCTACATGTTCCCACCAATCGCGTTTACATTTCTCGTGACGTTGTTTTTGATGAGAATGTGTTTCCCTTTCGTGCACTTCCGAATACCTCTATCACTCTTATGCCAGACGCTTCTTCTACCACACCTGTGCCTGATCAATTTGTGGATGTTGCATATGCTCCTGTGTTGCTCCCTAACCATGCTGCAGGTGTTGGCCATGGCGCTCGTCTCGAGCTCCTTGAGGAACAAGCACCGGCACGTCCGTAGGACGATCGCGTGCATGGGGCATGCATATCGGGCGGTACTTCGCAACCCGCGCGAGCTGCGCCCGCGGCTGCCTCGCAGGCCTCGCCCGACGCCGCTCCGCGAGCGTCGCCCTCGCCCGCCTCGTGGGAGTCGCCCGAGCTGGCCTCGCAGGAGGTCGCTCCTGGGCCAGCCACGCCATGCTCCCATGGGCCGGCTTCGGCTCCTGATGGGCCGGCCACCCGGCCGGCCACCCCAGGATCGCCTGCTCCTTCTGCGCCCAGAGGCTCCGGCGTGGACCTGGGCGACGTGGCCGTGTCGGGCGCCACACCGCCCGCCTCTCCGATGCCCGGTGGCTCTGGCGTGAGCTCTGGCGACTCGGGGTCGCCTCTTTCGTCGCCTGCATCATGCCTTGCGTCGCCACCACAACCTGCTGCTCCTCGACATCGCACGCGCAGTCAGACCGGTGTCTTTCAGCCTAAGATTCGGACCGATGGGACTGTTGCGTGGCTCACCGCGTGCATGGCTCATGCTGCTGCGGATCCCACTGCTGAGCCTCGCCACTTTCAGGCTGCACTAGGCATTCCCCACTGGCGTGCCGTGATGGAACAGGAGTTTCAAGCATTGCTGAAGAATGACACCTGGCAGCTTGTTCCTCCAGTGTCTGGAGTCAATATCATTGACTCTAAGTGGGTGTTTAAAGTTAAACGGCATGCTGATGGCTCCATCGAGCGTTACAAGGCAAGGCTAGTGGCTAAGGGCTTCAAACAGAGGTATGGTCTTCACTATGAAGACACGTTCAGTCCAGTTATCAAGCCCACTACCATTCGTCTACTACTATCCCTTGCTGTTACTCGAGGATGGTTTCTCCGTCTGCTTGATGTGCAGAACGCCTTTTTGCATGGAGTTCTGGAGGAGGAGGTTTATATGCGTCAGCCACCAGGGTTTGTGGATCCTGCACATCCTAATCATCTCTGTCGTCTTTTTAAGGCGCTCTATGGTCTTAAGCAGGCTCCCCGTGCCTGGCATGCACGTCTTGGTTCGGTTTTGCGAGCACTTGGGTTCATTCCTTCTACTGCTGACACATCACTATTTCTTCTTCAACGCCCTGAGGTTACGATGTATTTACTGGTCTATGTTGATGATATTATTCTCATCAGTTCCTCAGATGCTGCGGCAGACCGTCTTGTGGCTGCATTGAGTGGTGATTTTGCTGTCAAGGATCTCGGTGCTCTGCACTTCTTTCTTGGTCTGGAGGTTTCACAGTCTTTTGCTGGAGTCACTCTTACTCAGAAGAAGTACGCTCTGGATTTGTTGCGTCCTGCTGGTATGCTGCAGTGTAAACCTGTCACTACTCCTATGTCTGCCACTGATCGGTTATCTGCTTTTGATGGAGACCCTCTCTCCTCTGATGATGCCACTGAGTACCGCAGTCTTGTTGGAGGCCTGCAGTATCTTACTATCACCAGACCAGACATCTCTTATGCAGTCAATCGTGTCTGTTAGTTTCTTCATGCGCCCACAACATCCCATTGGTCAGCTGTGAAGCGCATTCTGCGTTATATATGTCTCACTGCATCTCATGGTTTGCTCCTCCAGCGTGCGCCGTCTTATGAGATCTCAGCCTTCTCCGATGCAGACTGGGCTGGTAGTCCTGATGACCGGCGATCCAAGGGGGGGTATGCAGTGTTTCTTGGCCCCAACTTGATTGCCTGGAATGCTCGCAAGCAGGCTACGGTGTCTCGCAGCAGCACAGAAGCCGAGTACAAAGCAGTTGCTGATGCGACAGCTGAGATCATTTGGGTTCAGTCCTTGCTGAGGGAGTTGCGAGTTCCTTCGGGTCATTCTCCAGTGCTTTGGTGTGATAACATTGGTGCTACATACTTATCATCTAACGCAGTGTTTCATGCTCGGACAAAACATATTGAGGTTGACTATCACTTTGTTCGAGAGCGTGTTGCATAGAAGCTGCTTAGCATCAAGTTCATATCATCAAAGGATCAACTTGCTGACATCTTCACGAAGCCTCTTCCACAACCACAGTTTGTAGCCTGCAGGCGCAATCTTAACTTAGTTTGTACTTCAGGCCACATTTAATATTGAGGGAGGGTGTTAGACTGTATGTGTATACGTAGACTTGTGTATACGTGTTGTACTTGTACTTGTACCCTTTGGTACTTATATATAATGAGATAGCCGCACTCCTCAAGGGTGTTGAGCAGTTGCCCCAATATCCTGGTTCTAACACATGGTGCACTCGCCCAGTTTACGCAGGCGCAATTAGTGTCGGCGGCCGCGAGGTAGTGGGCCCGTCGTCCTTGGGGGCCACTGCTCGAGCGCCCAGCTGCTAGCACCGCTCCCGCCGTGCCATGGCCGCTGCGTGCACGGTGGCTGAGCACACAACAGCTCCGTCACTGGGACTGGGTCACGCCGACCATTCTCGAGACCTGTTCCTCCCTATTCAAGCTCTGCCCCTTCTTCAGGATCCTCCCACCGCGGCCTCCTCATTCATCGTCTCCGGCTAGGTAAGCCACCACGGCGAGCGACAGCCAAATTGAGGACTCGCGTGCCGGTGAGTTCAGTCACAACGATGGCCGGCATGAGGTGCACGAGGCTGTGTGCGTGTACTGGTGTACACCCGAGACCGGACAGACGAGCCCGCTTGCAGCTTGACTGCGTGATGCGTGCTCAAGTTCCCTCGGCCAATAACATCGCTAGCTAGCTACGTGGTGCGGCGCGACATGAACCTGGTGACCAAGGTCACCAAGCTGGCTTTAAGCAGGCAGACAGGTGGATGGATTTTCAGGGAGCTAGCTCACATACGTACGTCACAGCTTACACGCCTTCTAGCTTGATCGATCTGCGTCGGCTTCGGGGTCTCGCACATGCGCCCATGGCTGGCAGGATGACAAACGTGGCGTGGCATGGGTCCTCGGCACACACACCTGGCCGGCGGCACGACACCTGGGAACGTCGGGGCATGCCCTAGAATTTGGTACGCACCGCAGTGCCGGCTACTGCAGGTGCTTGCAACGAGGGGAGCATCTATCGCCGCCGCGGTGGACATGAGCAGGGCGTTTTACCGGTTTAGTGAAAGACGTGATTTACCGGATGGTCTGATCTAAGAGGCCGTCGAGAGAGGAAGAGGGCGTCGGGGACTACTTCCTGGCCCTGGTGTGGGCGAACGTAATGCTGTCCAGCGGGCGGCACGAGGAGGTGGGTTGAGCTGCTGGAGAAGGTGGTCGTTGAACACGGGGGGAAGAGGAGCGGGCAGGAGAGATGGCGGTGGCAGCCTAGCAGCACGGAGGAGGCCGGAGGTCCATGACATTAGAGGATACATCTTCGCAGGGGGTTTTGTGCAAAATATACTGCCTACATGGTGGTGGTCAAAGGGCCACGTCAGCCGGTCAAGAGGGTCAGAGGTCAATAGGACCTCCAATGAATCACTTATGAAAGATTTGGGACTGCGATGTGCATTTTCATAGATTTAGGACCCACTTGACATTTCTGCAAAAGAATTAGGACCGCGCATGTATTTTACTTTTTTTATGATTTTTTAGTCAAAGTAGAAAAGCTGCAAAAGCAAAAGCAAAAGCAAAAGGCCAAACAAACAGAGCTAACATAGTGTGCTCGAGAGCTGCGGTTCAGAGAACTAAAAAAACATATAACGGACAGAGAGGTAGAGCCACAGCTCGGAGAAGTAATTCAGACGAACCACCACCGCAGTTGCGCTCCACACCCGCCCTTGCCTACCCGCCGACGCACCGGGAAGAGAGAGGACACCATGAGAAAGAGACAGGGGAGAGGGCAGCAGAGACCTCGACCTGCGCCGCCGGCCCTTGGTTGGGCGGCGGAGATGAGACACGCGCGCTGGCTCCAATGGCGAGCGTCATGGAGGTGTTCGACAAAATGTCTTTAAGAGGCCAAGGCGTGTGCTACGCTGGAGTCGTGACTACGTGATCCTGGAGGTGGTGAAGTCACCCTTACCACGAAGGAAACAGAGGCCAATTAGGCGCTTCTTGCCCTATCATGAACTAATTCATTGCTTGTTTCTAATATTGATTGCTTATTCACATGTTGTATGATCTACCCATAATTATCCATTACCGTACAATTAGGCGTATATGCATCGTCATGGATGAATTGAATTTGATGGTTTGTTTACACGATGACGACGACAGGGTCTTATTGGACGATTTGGCTCCTCAAACAAGAGGACCACTACCGTACTCAAACACGCCTATGGCATCCTCAAACCATCCAGGTAGCAAGCAAATCATCACATTCTTCTTCCTGCAGTTGTTTCTTTTATTATACCAGCAAGAACAATAACCATAGCAGGCTCATTATCTCTCTCATGCACATCCTGAGCCAATATCAATTTATTACGTTACATCTAGTTAGGTATTTTTATACTGCAGATAGTCCCCAAGATCGGTTTTCAGTGTGTAGCAATCATCCTTCCTGCAAGAAAAGCAACTCGTTCGTTTTGTTGCTTTCCACTAAATGTAATCTCAAAAGGAAAAAAATACACAGTGGCTTCCCTCAATTTTATTTTATTTTTGAGATGTGGCTTTCCTCAAATATAAACTCAAAAAGAAAAAGGGAAATGCACAGGCTGGTCAACTGTACCTTTTGAAGCAAAGTAAGTATTCGACATGCATATTGTTTTCAGGATGACTCTTCTTCTTGGACCTCCTTCTTCAGGGAAGAGCACGCTTATGCGAGCCCTTACAGGGAAGCTTGAAAAAAGCCTCAAGGTTTTAACTCATCTTGTCAATTTTTTGCTTATGCATTATGATCACATCCATAAGATAAAAATAATCACCATCCTTTGGATACTTCAACACACCCAGGTATCTGGCAGCATCACATATTGTTGTCATACTTTTTCCGAGTTCTACCCTGAGAGGACCAGTGCGTATGTCAGTCAGTATGATCTCCACAATGCGGAGATGACTGTAAGAGAGACATTAGATTTCTCCAGGCGATGCTTGGGTATCGGTGCCAGATATGACATGCTTGCGGAGCTCACTGCAAGGGAGCGCGAGGCAGGCATAAATCCAGATCCCGAGATCGACGCTTACATGAAAGCTACTGCAGTGCAAGGACATGAGACTAATATTATAACCGATCTTACTCTCAAGGCGAGCTTTGACTATTCTATGAACTATATGGAGGTCTCTAGCAAAATATTGCACGCTGAGTCTAAAAAAAACCTCCCATTAGGTGCTTGGGCTTGACATTTGCGCCGATAACATCGTTGGTGATGAGATGACCAGAGGAATTTCTGGAGGGCAAAAGAAGCGTGTCACAACTGGTATGTACACACAACTACATAGAATAACCTCTCTGCACGTTGCACCGTGCCTATGTAATTCTGTACTCTGTACTCACTGCCACGGCAG